GATATTATACAGTTAAAAAGACATTGGCGCCCGAGTAATGTTTCTCTGATAAGCCCGGTAACGAGCAAACCATAAAACTATTAAAATCAAACATTTAAAATTATTTAAATTCGTCTAGCTACTAATATTTGTACTAAGGTTAAAAACAAAACTATCTTCAGGTTATGGAAGTATAAACCTTTGTACAAATACAACTAGATAAAAGAAGACTTAGTACTAATACTAAATAAACAATTACGCAGAATCCAATCCGTTAAACCTCATGAACACTAAAAAATATTTTAGAACGCCATTGGTTCGGACAGTTCAAGAATATTCCCATAAGAACCCGTCCGAGATATACTTATCCACTAAATTAAAATGCAGTTAATCGTTTCTTTGTAGTGGTGTGAGAAGCTTCAATCATTGCATATTGCCTATTTATTATTGCACTTGTGCCTGCATTATGTTAATCGAAGAGACGAGGCGGTGCTTTTATCTCTTCTAGAGCTTCAACGATAATGATATGTGTGAATAATAAAAGCGGTTATCGGCTCATCGCAGTGTAAATTCATGCGTATTCGTGCGATGTCGAGGTATTTACTTACTTAGAATTTGGAGGAAATACTCTTACTAACAATTCTTGTAAGTTAAAATTAGGGAAAAATCTCGGGGAAAATATAAATAGAACGCACCTTTGTACAAAAGCTTTTAATCCTAATTAAATAGTCGATGAATGTTTATGCATACTATGTATTTGTATATTTCAATAGAGTATCCCATTGTTTTCAAAGGATTCACTGATGAAATTTATTTTAATTACGCGTTTTAATTTTCTCTAAACAATTAAATTAAGGACCTGCCTTTGGTTGTAGATCAATTGTTTTAAATTTACGATTTACCTTGTTGAACATTTTACCTGAATTTAGTAAAAATTTATTTAGCTGAACTGATTTTATAAATAAAACGAATTTCCTGGTAAAACGAGCTTGTTCAAATTTGCGATAATAAGCGATAAAAATGAGAATTTCAAGAATTTTCAACATTTATTACAGGTAGTTACGTTTTATGATTACATTAAATCAAAATTTGCCGAAATAATTGGAAATATTGGTTGTAAAGAATCCAAATAAAATATCAATTACGTTACTAACGAAAAATAATGCAAATAACTAATAATAAATTAGTTGATAGAAGTGCCTAAAAATGTCTAATACGTCTCATTTCGCCAATATTTTATTTATTTAATTCGTTTTTAAAGCAGACGCATAGTATAAAATTAGCATTCGATGTACTATTTATAGAAAATGATTTTAGTTTGCTTATTTGATAGCGCGCGGTTAAACTGATAAAATAATTTTCCGTCTACATGAAATAAAGACGAATTTTTCAGGCATCCAATAAAACTAATAATAAACCGGACAAGCGTCGCCCTTGAAAAAATCGCCGGACATTCGCTTTCTATAAAGGTATCTTACCAAGATTATTTTTGTATATTAAATATACATACGTATAATAAAGGAGCAGGAAAATATTTGACTAGTTAATAAAGTAGGTAATTTATTCTATCAGCTCACACCAGCTGCAATATAATAATTAAATATTCAATTTTCTTAAGTACAATACTATACGCGGACCGTTCCCAATAGATTATTAGCTTTCTATTACTTATTTGCAAAAATGATGTCATCGAAGAATACGATTTAAATTCGTCTGTTGGCGAGTTATCGGGGTCAGAAGTCAACAGACATCGAATCGGAAAGGTTTAATTTTGTATCTGCAAACTGGCTTTGCAAGAATGTATGAAATTTGAACAGGAAATTACATTTCAGCTTAAACCTATATTTTTTCTTAATAATTCACTTCATAATTTCGCTACAAAACACACTAACGTTCTGCTGCATAATTACAAGCTGTACTGTAAACATGCAATCTTACCATGCTTGTTCGCGATTTGCGGAAAAACATTTTCATAAATATCATGTAGTCCTAACGTAAACTGCGCGTATATTAATTAATTTTATACTACACTTAGTTGTAAAACATCTGAAACTAATAAAAAAACCAATTTCTAATTAAAGCTAGTTAATTACTAGGATGACCTCCGTATAATTGTAAATTTCATTAAGCGTGCTTTCCATTTTTTTCACAGATGCAACTATTACAGCGCAAAAACAACTCACAATTAAATCAGCGAGATACTTATATTCACCGTTGTTTATTGAACAAGGAAATTCGTTCTAACACGTTTCCTTTTAAGTTTGCTTAAAACATAGATGCAGGTATATAAAAAAAGTTGGATTTTTAGTAAACCTACCTACAGAAGTTAAATTAACTGCACTCTAGAAAAACCCGTTGATAGTGCGGTAGTTAAGATCGTGTAGGTATGTGCTCGATGTCCTAAAAACCAGCTCGGAAAATAAGGAAATGTTTATTACCAGCCCATTTCTCGTTGTACAAATGTACAGAGTAAAGCATCGAATAGCGTTGAAAATAGAGATAAGTACAAGTTTTAAACTCCTCCAATTTTCCGGAACAAATTTCGAAACATCAACTTACAATAGACGAATTACACGACTACTCGTACATTTCCAAGATGACGTCATTTCGCAACTCGAGTAATTTTAGTTTATGGCCCTAATAAAGTTCGTAATTCATGTGAGTACAGTTTTAATTTATTACTCTTCCTTACGATAATAGGAATAATATAAATGGAAGCCGGTCCAAGCATTTGTTCGGTTTGATTGGACACAAAAATACGTCGAATAATTGAAAGTTAAACATTGTTAATGAAATCAACGAGTTAACAATCAACTACCTATAACAATCCGTAATTAGCGTAGTGTTTGTTGAAACAATTGATTACGTGCGGTTCTAATACGTATATAGAATTTCGGACAATACGCTATTATAATAATTAGCTTCTTAGATCATCAAATGAGGCAAGAATTTTAGGGAAGCAGTAAATATACATTTTTTTTTGGAAAATTCTCAACATTACAAAACCCTCTCGATTAGCACACAATATACCGCTTCTTACGCGTCACAAAATTCCCTGATTACCCGTTCAACTGTAAATGAACATGACTTTGATCTTTAAAATATCAATAAGGTATTGAAAATGAATTTATGTATTTATTCCGAACCACTTAGCGATGCCTATTCGACCGGAGAAACAGATTAAAACCAAAATCAGAAAAAAACCTTATTCATTTATTTAAATTAAAAAAAAACATTTCATATTAATTTTCAAAATATTTTTCGTGCAGCTAATTACGAGAAATGTCCAAAAGTAATCTACTTTAAATAATTCCAACTCAGGCAACTATTCTGAATGGCGCTTTTAAGCACAAGTTCCGAGTTTTGCGCTTTCCACGCCAAATAACTTTACAATTTTCCATAATCATTTCAGATCCATTACTCTCGCTTTGAAGAACGCTAAAAGCGACTTTTTCATTTTCGTTTTCGCATCGCGATTTGAGATCCCGAGAAAACGCTCCGACCGAATGCAATCAATTTTGCAGTTTATTATCCTTTGGTAAAGAACTGCATCATAACTTGAACCTAACAGCTTTTTTGTTTACACGTGTACCGTTATAAAACGCGGCAAAATATTAACAAACCCGCAGACGCACGTGTTGTTTAGGTAGGTATATCACAATAGGTAGATTGCGAGTTTTGCCGCAATACGAGAACTTTGATTTTGCGGAATGCAAACTGCCAGGGGACACCATTTCCCATATCGATTGAAATATCAGAAGTGGGATTACAATATAATGACTATATAGATTAGATTTAACTTACGCATAATAAAAATATCGAAATATTATACATGTAAGTATGTAGGTGGTTGAAGAGAAGTATAATATTACTATAGTATAGTCTATGTATGTGCACACAGCTAATTCAACCTATTAATAGGTATACTGCTAGGGTTTCCATTTTCCATTATGATTAGGGAATGTCATGATTGGAATCCTATATGGATTCTAGTATATCGACTACAGATTACGCATAATTGAGATATTATTATCAGTACAATAATACAAATTTCAATCAACCAACTATTGATGCAATTAATTATACTTCTTCATACACAGTTGAATACTGTCTCTTTATCTATTACTTTTTATAAAAGAGAGATGTATTTTTCGAGAGTCGAGCTATTCCGCTTGGCGTTTTCTCAGAACATTCGCGAAAGGCAAGAGAAATATCAAGTTAATTTTTTCGGGTCGTTAAAGCGAGGGGATGGGTGTTTGATTTAAAGGTGCACACCTGGATGATAAAGCAAATAATATATCGAAAAGCTGCGTATACTAGCGTCGAATCAAATCCGGATGAACCTACAGAATACTTAGAAAATATAGCAGGTATTGTTCAAAAATGGATTGTTGTCCTTCTGAAAATCCTACACACCTTCATCAAGTAATGAACGATCATAATAAAAAATATGCAAATAGCCAATGGATGTCGATTGTCGATCTAATAACGATAAAATTTCTATTATCGGAATTGTCCGCGGTCTCATCTGATGCAATAATAAAATTTCCAAAATGTTTGTAAACAAACCAATAAAAGTGTGAGAATCCAAATTAAGCTCATTAGAACCGACAGGTAGGTATTTAACATTTAAATTCCTCCTGTATAATACCTATAGATTTAATGGTCGGATAACAGGTGTGTAAATTCGTAAATAAATAGAACAGGTAAAGTACAACTCGGTAATACCTGAACGTAGGTACCCAGAAATGTGAAAAAAATAAAATAAGTTTCGAAAGGTACTAAACAGGTTTTATGTGAGCATACCGGCTTGCACAGAATGCTGGGAGACTGGGAGATGTTAGACGGGTATGGTAAATCCTTAACAGGTAGATGAATAAGGAAATTTCGCGCTACAAGATTCACAACCTGCAATTTCAAAACAAAGTTCCCTGATGTGGTTGCCTTCGGACTTACTTTTCTTACGAAAATACCAAAGTAATTCATTAAAAAACGTAAGGAATCAATCGTGTAGGTCTTACCTCTGTAACACAGCGCTAACTCGTCCGTACGAAAATTCAGCAAAACAAAATCAGTTAGGAAAATCGAAAGGGCCGAAAAATCAACACAAACACATGATCACTCGGATGTAAATCGTTGGAAATCTTCGCCAAAATAGGGCAAATCAATCTTAAGCCAGCCTTTTAACGGTGCTCTCGATCGGAACGCGCGTCGACTTGTATCATTTCCGCGAAGACGACGCCGAAAAAAACACGTTTTGTACTTTTCTGTTTGTAAACATTCGACGCCTGAATTCGATTGACGCGACCTCCACAGCCGCTTGAATTCAACTATCGGAATCGGAATGGAATGAGTCACTTACGCGAGCTGCGCATACCGCCATGGAAGAGAGGGGTCCACTAAAGTGCCATGTTGCCGATTCCATAGGTAATTTCCATGTACACCAGATTTTAACCGGTTGTGAAACGTTTCTTTTTTAACGAAAATAAATTACCTACTTGAATTATGACAAGATTAAAACATAAATTGTCATCACAAGGGAATTACTAAAATGGCAAAAAGTAGCCATTTGCTGGGACTATTCCGGGGTTTTATTACTTATAAATAAAAAATTAAGACCTGATTTTTTTTATGTATGTAGTAAATTATACTAATACAATATGCAGCACTTTTCCCCATTTTCTCGAATTCTTAACTTATAAAAGAATCAGGCAACGCGGTAACACTTTTACGTATCCTTTATTCATTCTTATTAGATATTAGACGGAGAAGGAAAAATTATAGCTGGATTGGGATTGCTCTTGCAGCTAAATAGCATTTTCACCTAGCCATCTAGGCTATGCCGGTTTTAAAATTTTAATTTCGCCATACAACAATTTTTATTATTAGAAAGTTGTAAAAAGCAACACTTACCCTAGATTTTGGAGTATGTTTGAGACCGATGGCAGGCTGACTTCTGTTGCTCTATAAAGAAATTAATTAATTATTTATCCAACATTAATAATTCAAATCCAACAATACAAAATAATCCAACGATCCAAGATTAATAATTAAAATTTGCGGTTGTTCTCGCGTACATTGACGTAAACATCAATCTATTGTGGTTTCTGATCGATATACCTATATTTCAACAAAAACATTCAGTTACACAATAAAGCCATTCAATAGAAGCACTTCTAATAAATGTATCTAATAAAAAATGCGCAATTAATAAACTGAATTGATCTAACAATATAACGAACCTCTGACCACTTTCGGTTCTGCGGCAACCTGATCTCGATGCTTTGAATCTCCTGGATTTGCTTAACAGTTTGTTGCAGGTCGGCCTGCAATTTCTGCTGGATTTGCTTTTGAATCGAAATTTTCTGTTCGATATCCCGGCTGGACTCGCCTTCGGCCGAATAATTGGCCGGTTTTCTCGGCAATTTGTCGCGCTCGTACCGTTGCGACAGCAATTCTTCCAGTTTTTTCGTCGATTGTTGGAATTGGCCCGGCTTAACGATCGGCTTCGGTTTCGATTTCGGCTCGTCGGTCTTGTTAATGTTCGAGCTAAATTTGGCCAAATGCTGGGTAAAGTTTTCCGGACGCTCGATGTTTTGATTCTACAATAATTGATGAATTCGAATCGACTGTATTTTGGTACAAATTAGTTTGGAAATCAGTTCACAAATTCAAATTTATTGAACAGAATCTTTTGATGAAAAAATTGTAGGTATTAAGTAAAGAACTGATTTTCCAAAATGGTCTTTCCAAAGTTTCAAAATACTTAAAAAATATTTAAAAACTTTGCAGATTTATTAAAATAATCTACTAACTGTATTGTAATTTGGCTTTTGAAAATACTGTTGTTCCGTTTGCGGCAAAAATTGTACTAAAGCTTGTGCATTGGCGATGAAATTTTGTCTGTTTTGTCCGAACGAATGTTTGATTTCGGTTTGCGAAGGCCTCCTGTCGTGCGAATACTGTTTGAGTTCAATTTTCTTCTCGTGGCTATCACATTGGTTTACGTTCCTCTGGTCGAAGATTGGCTTCTTTTCGATTTCAGGCGACAGTTTTTTGGACAGATCCAGTTGTATGAAGTCTTTGAAACCGCCTGAATCCGATGAATTCGAGTCTACTGAATCTACTTTTGTCATGGATTTTTCGTTCAATTCCTTTTTGTTAATGTTTATTATGCCGCAGCAGTCGGTTGTGGCGTTGGACAAAATGCTACAGCATACCGTGCTGGGCGACTGGGGTGGTTTCTGAGGGATGTCTTCTAGTTTTTTAAAAGTTTGAAAACTTGGTGTAAATTTATCACATTTTTCATTGAGGTAAGTGGATGCGTACGAGTCGTATTTAATGCTAGTTTCAATTCCTAAATGTTTGGAATCGGTTATAAATTCATTATTTCTTTCCGACGAATACTCCTTGTATTCGGTTTTTTGTAAGTCTTTGCCTCTGCTCAAATCTTTATTTACGGACTTGGAGTCTCTTCTCTGCAAATTGTTTTCGGTGTGAATAATTCTCTGCTGCACTTTCACCGGCGGTACATATCTCGGTTTCGTTGGAATGCTCGGTTTCGGTGCGATTTTCGGCCTTTCGCCCCCTCTGTTGCCACCTTGCATGTTGTTTACCTTTTCGGACACTTGTTTGTTTATTAACATCAAAACACTGCCGTGTGCGCTTAGGAATTCGCCCGATTTTTCATCGAACACACCACCTCTCGAGCGATCGATTCATCATCGGACCGAATCGTGCGATTTTCGAAACTCGAAAACACCGTCGTACGCGATTTTTTAGTTCAAAATCGGATTGCACATACTGCACCACGCTAACTAGCACGTTGTAATGTTGGGGGTTGACTCCCTACCTTGCGACGCCGAGTTCGACAGAACGACGCTTGGCGGCGCCCGTCTCGAATCGCGTTGAACTCGGTTCGATAAGCGAATAAAACATCCGAACAGGTTGGAGCACCGAAATCCAAACTTCTCCCGGCTCTAAAAACACAAACTGATATACAACAAAATATAAAATAACCGCGTTCTTGGCGGGTTTCTTCGATTTTTTTACCGTTAATTGTTGTTTTCGTAACGAAAAATATCGGGGTTCAACGACTTTTTGTGCCCGGCACCCTCTTTTATTCCGTCTATTGTCGAAACAACCCCTTTCGCCAGACGACCAAATCTCTATTCAATGCTCGTGTCAGATGGACACATCATGATGATGCTGCGTTAATTGCCTCAAAATCGATGCATATGCACTAACGCATTTATGTAAATTTATTCCCACCAAAATATCCAGAAAAATCAAGATTAATTCAGAGTGTTATTCAAATATGAGATAATAAATTCTTTGTAGAACTCCAATAAGCGGATCCTTTAGAAACATATTTTTAATTCGAATAACCCTCACCGTTCTCAATTGCATCTGTTTCTTCCCTATAGTCGTCGCTTTTGATATGACTCTTCACGTTCCCAAACTAAAACGATGCTTTAGAAATTGCAATCTCGCACCTATGAAATGCGCTAAAGACTTATTATGTAAAGTCACGTCCTATAAAGCACTGTTAGGTTAGTTATCTTTCCCTGCCGTCTCCTTCGACGTGCAATTTAATATTTAGATCAACTGCACTCCTCTAGTAGATTCAGAAAATTTCAATAAATACTTGGAATGACATGGAAAAGACGTTGATAAAACAATGAATGACATCTAACACAATTTTTCTATGAAATTCCAGTTCAATAATATATCGCCAAAGTGAGATATTTAGATATTACATGATCTTTAAATATTTAATACAAATAGCACAGTTGTGTGGTGCAGTCGCTTTTGTACCAAGAAATTTACGCTCTCGGTCCGGGTGCTTTCTGTATATACCGTCCTTAATGTCCATTTATTAACATGAATAATCGATGTTATGCGTCCGGGGAATCCAATAATGCATTCTACGTGAACTGCCGTTTTCATCTCGCCTTACTGGGATACTGCAGAGCCTCCGTTTGTCTGTTTAAAAAAGCACTTTTTGCGATTGAATCGTGAAATTTTAATGGTAACTGATCGCTAGCGAGATCGTCGGATCCAATTTCAGGATACGTTAAGATCATTTTTAAAAATCTGCTTCTTGTCAGATAGATAAATAAAAGATAAGATATAATACGTTTAATATGCTACCGAGATGACAACATTTATGATTTTTGTAACAACAAATTTATTTCATGAGGTATTTATCTTTTTTTGTAAACCCTAGGTAAATCTCGTTTTTATAAATTCATGAATGAATTTTACAACGATATAAACACAATAAATCTCATAGAGAATAAAGAACATCCGGTAGATATTCATGGCGATTCCACCTACGCCTAGATGGGCACCGATTCATTTAGTTTCTGATTCAAATCGCGCCATTATTTTTCCTTTCACAATAGCTAACGATTTAACAGACTAATCCCCTAAGTAGGTAGATGGTATTATTAACGTCGAAAATCCTCCAGGTAATTATCATAATTGATTAAACCGTTCGTATTTGAAGTATCTTCTTATTGTTTCGACTTTAATCATGGAAATTATGTTGTTATAACAAGGCGATATATCAAAGGTGTAGGCAGGCATTAGTACGAAAAAATACTTAAAACCTTAATAAAAACCAACTGTTGCATCGGAACTCAAGTAATGCTCCTTTCGGCGTATTGCACCCGTTGATTTCCGCTTCCACTCAATGGGAGCAACAAACCGTGAAATAAAAATCACTTCGGTCTGGTAGATGTGCCCGGATAATCGAACCACGGGTTTTTCCGTGTGTCGTAAATTTATCTAGTTTAATTGAGACGAATAGGCGCTTGATTACTGAATTAGCGTCGTAGACAAATTGTGAGAGAAAACAACCCGCTCGTCATCAGCAAACAATAGAAACATGCATTGGGCAGGATAAGATCTTAGTCCAAATTTTGGCGGAGGAACCCGGCAAATTATAATTTAAATCTTTGGATAAATTTTTATCTATAGTGTTTCCAAAGTTATTTAAACATCAAGTTAATCAACTAAACATGCCTTACTTATATTAATAATTAATTGATAAATTAGTTTGTTTAAAATCGGTTAAGTTCCAAGTAACTTTCGAAAAACTATACCATAATATAATTTTTATACGTACTTTCCGAATCCTCTTGTATTCGCCGACAGCAGCGCCTCTAGCGCGTGTTCTCGATACTCTTTGTCCAAGAGATCATACTGCGCTTGAATTCTCCTGCAACAAGTCGATAATATTACTTCTCGCAACTAGGTGGCGCTGGTTGTTTAATTAGAGAATATTTCAGCAGGAATAATATGAGTTTGTAAGAGTTTATCCATGAGAATTGATGAGGAAAATAATTAGAAATGGCTTACGCTATGGCTAAAAGAAGCTCCTGTTTTTGATGTTCCTTGGCTTTTATGGAACCTCCTTCTTCCAGAGCTTGTTGTAGTTCCTTTTGAAGTACCGACAATTTTCTCCTTTCCGCTTCTAATAGTAAACTTGTAACCTGGAAGAAAAATCGAACTTATTTAAACAAAATATATATGAAAATAGGGTGGTTTTGTACTGTTAGATAATTAATTTTTTGCTTATTTTTCTATTTGGCCTAGTTTCTAATAAATAGCTAAATAAAAAAATGTTCCTAAAAGAAAAGGCAGGATGAAAATTATGACCCTTACAGTAATTTATTAAAAGCGAAACTTATGTATCAAGTCACTTTAAATAACAACAAAATTAAATCGAAAAAACAATACAATTATTTATTTATTTGCAATTAAAACAACAACAAACTGGAATATTACATAGAGTTCCGTATTCTAGCCTTGAGCTTAACATAAAAAATAAATATTAATGAATAACGAACAGATAAAAGAGAGTTGTACACACTTTCGCTTTAAAACATTGCACAAGCGATGAATTGATTGTTTTTTAAATTTCAATTACTATACAACAAATAAATGTGGAACTTTAAAAAAAATCATAATTTTGTGCTTTATAAAATTACTGCAGGAAGAACACAAACTTCCTTCTCAGCGTACTGCGTACTAATTTATCTCCACGAATTTTATTTTTATCGGTGCGTTAAAAAAATTTATAGGTAGAGGATCATAATCTCGAGCAATAAAAATCTTCTTTACAACTATTACGTTATGTTCACATCCTTTGTGTGTAATTTCTAAATTTCCGAGATACCCAATTTAATTGTTCTTGCTCGAGCGCATTACAATACCTAATATTTATTTTCAATTAACGAGAAATCGCAATTGCGGCGAATGAATAGAATATAGTCGAGGGCAACTTATGCTTTTAGATCTCTTTTTTTAAAATATAATGAAATTATTATAACAGTAATTTTATTGGATCAACTATTTGTGTAAGCTAGCGAAAAATATATTTGTTATTACTCAAGTTTTTCTTCCAAATCTACCAGAAATATTTCCTGGGTTAGGTTATTCACATAAAATCGAATAAGAGCATTACAAAATTGTCATTAGTGGTCTCCGGACTATTTATTCCCTCTTTTGTATGCCGCGTTCGTGTAAGAATTATAACTGCATAATCCGACATGTGAATTATGTGCATTATTAGATGCATTATTAAGTAACACAACACCGTTACTGAACTTAACATCTAATTTTCTTTTAGAAGGTTGGAATACTATAAGTTCGATGTGAATTATTAAAACGAGATATTCAACTAAAAATTCGATTCCCATTAACCACATACTAGGTAGTTGAAATAAATTTTTATTGCCGTGTTATTATCGAATCTGTTTGTATCGTAGGAATGGTATAATCTATCTATGAAGAATGAAATGTTATTTTTCGTATGTTTTTAAACCTCCTTCATTATTTTGATTAATTGTCTTAAATATATTGGTTCAAGCTGGGATACTTTGATTACTATTCTTATTTTGCCATTCAGTAGGCTATCACGTTTTAATTTTGAAACGTCTAACTGTAGATTAAAATTTAAAACTCAATTAATGGAGTAATTTATTGCACCACTTTCCTTAACATACCTGAGTATTCGTAAAATAATTAATGTACGCAGTGCGGGTAAATAGTGATTAGTAACGCCATTTGTCATGAAAATCTCGACATCAAACACGCATTTGGTTTTGTATAAGTTATTCCGATTTTCTTAGGTTTATATGATGGGGTAAAAAATCGTGAATATAAGTAGCTAATGCTGAATGGATGTAAATAGATTATAACCCACAGATATATTTATGTATAGCGCTTTCCTTTTAATAAATTCTATTATTATTTATGTAATTTCGTTTTTCTGTAAATGTTTTGCAACTAAATTTATTTGTATGATTAAAATATACTAAAGATACATGATATAATGTTGCAGATGTAGATAAATGTTGCACCGAATTTACCAGTTAATTTTATGTAGAAAAATAGTAAAATTATAGCTAGAGGTGAATAATTTTTCATCAGATAGAATAAGCAAACTGCAAAGACATTACGGATCTTTAATAATTCAGCGATTTTAAATGTTAAATGAATTCCATTCATGCGGCTTATTCCGGTATTCATTTAAGTTTTTTATGTCAATAACGAAAATTGATTTTCCCGGCGAAAACCTAGGCATTCCGCTATATCGATTATTTTCCGGTTCGTACCGGTTTTTCAGCGAATCAATGCACGTTTATATGTTTGTATCGGTTGCCAAGCTACCATTTCGTGGTTCAAATAGCCGGTGCGGAAGCATTTTCTTTGTTGTTTTCTTTTTCTACCTCTAATGCGGTACAGCAATTTCAGGAAAGCGCTATCAGTTATTCAGATTTTTATCGGGCCCCGTTCGTGTTGAAATTTTTTTTAATGTCGGGAATACGTGCGTAGCGCCTACGTTAATCGTATGCACGTTAAATTATCGGCATCACAAATTTCCACCACTTTTACTGCTTACTAAATTTGCATCTTTAGATTGGGTTGACTATATTATATAATACATTCGGGGAGTTTTTTCTTGCGGCGGAAAATTTAATGAACTATAAATTACAGAATTCGAGTCGAGAAAATGCGAGAATATAATTTCATACAGACCTCTAATTGAACTCCAAATAAGTCACGTGAACGGTCCGGTTTGTTTCTCAAGTTAACGTTCTCTTGAGAAACGACCTCCACTAAATTTGGTACTACATTCTCGATGGGACTCATCTGAAATAAAAAATCAATAACTCAATTAAAATAGTATATTTCATAGACAGTATATGCTAATTTTTTAACGCAGGCATTAGAATATTAAATGTATTACAAAACGTAGTTATTGTTTTGATAAAAGGTGCGAAAATTGTGTTGAAGGAAGTGAAAGGTTCAAAAACGAATCTAATTAGCGAATTCATGTCTTATTTTATAATATAATAAGCGATATTACATATTAGATGCAAGAGATTCCAGATACATAATATTGTTATTCAAATACCTAGTCGTTACGACATGCTCATGTACGAACAATGTCTTTGCAAATTGTTGTTATGTAATTTTTTTAATTACTTTCATTGCGGGTGTTTTGGAGCGTTTCATTTTTGGATTTATAATAACAATTAGACCATCAATCAATTCAATTGCGAGTAAAGAGAAAAAACGTAACAGATTTATAATTGAATAGCGTTTCAATTTGTATCTATTCATAATATGTCACAAAAACGTTTTTTGTTGTTCTAATAACATCATTAAATTTATTATTCGGCATATTTCTGTTAATTGGACCATTTTTTCGGTTCGGTGAAAGACATAATAACAATATTATATTGATTTTGTCGATCACGTTCTTTGCAGCCTGATAAACCGTTTTTTTTATAAATAACGGAAGCATTAGACTACCGGGAATAATCCCAATTTAATTTATATAGTCCCACACTTATAAAAAATAGAAAGTGTGAAGATGTGTTTTTTTCGTTATAAAAACAATTTCACTTTCGTTTGTCGTTTACTATAAAGTTTTCGTAATTGCGATTTTCGTTGACAGTTACTATTAATTTTCTCTACTGTTTCCTTTCTCATGACCATTGCATTTCACGCTAATTTCATCATTAATTTATTTAACGATTTTAGGGTTAACCTGTAATGCTTAGGAACTAATTTTAGTGTTGAAACGAAAAGTTAAATTTAATTGTCGTATGGATTGAAATTAAAATAAAATAAAATCACGTGTTATGTCATGATATTTTCCAGAAATTAACTGAGTGACATTAAGGATTCGTTATTTATAGCTACATAAAACATCAACGTCCACCCATAAAAGACTGAAATACCCATCTCTAGCAATATTAGATGACACAGCTAAAAATAGTGGGTGGATTTATCGATTCCAGTGAAAGTTCTGTTTACTTTCTATTTTATAAATCTTCTTATGAAATAAAACAAAACAACTTTATTACAAATGTTCCTTCTAAAAACATCAAAATTAAATTCCTTTTATTTACTAATAGGAAGGTACACAAGCATCGTAATTAACACTATTCACTGCTCCATATCATGGCTATTCGCGTTGATTATAGGCATTCGTTTAATGAAATATTTATCTTCTAAGCCAAGTACATTGTGTTCGAAAATCAAAGGAGCTGAGTAAATGCAATTTAAAAGTTTAACAACCTTGAAGAGGAGGAAGCGCCATGACCTCAAATGCAATATTTACAGTAAATAATTGATACCAGAAAAAATGCGAAGTGTAACCGAACGAATCTCAATTAAAATCGCATATAAAAATAATACGATAGCCTAAATTACTCCGGTAAATGCGCAATGTTCAAATAATTGCAATCGAACACGTAACAATTCACCTAGCAAAAAAATATTGTGAAAAATATATAAATATTGTTATTGCTAATTAGTAATAAGAAAAGAAAATTAATTTGCAGGAACGAACTTTCTTAATTACAGTACAAAAGTAATGTTTAATTGGATTTTACGACTCGGAAAATAATACTAATCGAATGAAACGATAAATAAATTTACGTAAATTTTAATTGTCAAGTCGAAAACAATTAGTTTTTACCTTATCCAAAAATACAAATAAATAGAATAATTAATAGTAGCTGATAAAAAATTAAATTATTCGGAAAGTTAAGGATAGACTGGAATTTGTACCCAATCAGGTGGTCATAAATTATTTAATATTACAATTTAGGAGTTAATTTTTCGGAAATATGCCAAAGGGCTAGTACGTGCCTGAAATTTCCATATGTAACAGGCGCAGTAAATTAGCATTTATGCTCTGTTTCTTGGGCTTTTCGTGCAAGGTACACAAATAAGAAGCACATAACGCTACATATAATAGTAAATCAATACTTCGCTATGAATAAAAATTAAAACACGGGGCAGACCGAATGGGCAGGTGATTTGCCCTAGTAATTAGTGTGATTGATGGTAATTCACAGGTCACGACTTCAATGCAGATATATTTTTTCATTCTTCCTTATCGTGCATGTGGTATTTGTTATATTATGGAAGTTTCCTTGCTCCAACGCAAGAATAAAAATGGAAGAAATATACATCAAATTTAGATCTAACAACCCACCCTGTATTTGCATAAAACTCAAATCAACTCGTTTCATTTTTAATTTGCCTATGTAAAAGTACTTGTTTCGTAAGGTAATTACAGAACCGTACATTCCGGTTAGTTCGTTACCTAAATTAATTTCGCATTTAATTGTATCAGGTATATAATTATTTATGGATTGGTATTACCAAATTTGATCAATCATTTGCTCGATCAAATGAGACCGAAATTTCGTCAGTGCGAATTTCGAAATGCTAATAAAATTGATTTTATAAATGAAGCATGCACTTAACACCTATATTTTTCCTAATATTCTCATTAAAGTCGATTAATATCCTCATCCATTTTCGTTGTTGTTTTCCATTATATTCGTGGATTAATGGGTTAATAATAGGTAAGTGCGTCGACCGAAAGTACTCTCTACACGAGATCAAGATAAGTGTTAGAAATAACAAACAATTCGGTTTTGTTTGCTTTCAAATTATACCCCATATGATATACCTGTAACAATGCATTTCGGGTTACAAACATTGAGCATTGAAGAGAAAGTTGAAGAAAAATTTACATTTAATGTTTGTGCTCGAATTTGTAGCAGTATTATGTGTAACAATTTATAAACTAATGAAGCCTTAATGTTACAGTGTATTTTCGAGGCGAAAAGTAATACTTTACTCGTGCAAATTGCCCAAGATCTCATCAATAAAATGCTGCTGGTGAAATTCACTGATTTGCTATACTCTGCATTGTTTACTTCCTGATGTTTCGACCTTTTGTTTAATTAGTAATTTGTAGCACTGACACTACATTTGTTGTACAAGAATTTTCACTTTTTCTCGCACTTGCAAAAGAAATCGTCCATCTTTCGCCTTTTTTAGGCAAATATAGGCAGAAGAGGAAATTGTGTTTTTGTGTCACTAATATTGGCTTGAAATTACGAAGAGTATTCCCATCTAAAGCAATTAAAATATTTATTAGCAAGGTGATAAAAGTAAAAATAAACACGCCTTTTCACATTTTAACGCTGCAAAAGAGGATAATTTAACGACAACCGTTTTTTATTTGATAAAAATTACAATAATCATACTGTATTCATACAGCATTCTAAAAATAGTAAGTTGAAAGTATTGGTCGTGTTGAGACCGATCAAGACGACCTTGCTCTCCACTAAATGACCTCTAGAAAATTATTGATTGTTGCAAGTACCAACACATATCAGTTGTGTATTAATCACATAACACCTGTGCTCGCGATAAATACATATAATATCGCATAATTTCTTTTCCAATGAATAGAGAATCGGATTCAACCAACAAATCAAGCATTAATTAACTGCCAGAGGTGAAACTAATGAAGGCTCTTCACGTATTGAAAATTGAAAGTGAAAATTTATGTATGTGCATCGCATTGTAATCAAAAATTGTATTATTCGTTTAGAGAAAAGAAATGTTTTTGATGCTTATCTCTTCTTAACTGCTTTTTTGATATGTACACATTTCGTGACATGATGAATATAATCTTATCATCTTCCAGGAACTTTTTTAGGTACTATCTTCACGAATTTGTATATGAACTTTTTTAAATTCTTATATTAGAGTTTTTAACTGGCTCTTTAATATCCTCACATGAATATACAGAAGGTTAAACTCATTAACTATCCTTTACAAAACAAATTTATCTCTAATAACTAGTAAAATATTTGTTGTAATATCCTCTCTAAAAGCAATGGTAAATAAGAGAAGATCTGATAGCCGAAGCTCAACAAAAGCATCGAACCTCCAATGAAAATTATCAATTCAACTGAGAAATGTGCACCAAGGTCCCGCTCTTAACCTAGGCCTCATTACAACATAATGTAATTTCTCTGCGTTTTATGTCTTTCTACATCTTGTGCGTTTTTTGTTGTTGCGCTATACAGTTTATCTCGTCCGTACTAGTTGATTAAACGCAGAAACGGCCGATTTTATCATCACGATACAATCTTCGTTTATTCCGTGGAACTGTAGTTTAACTTTTCGTATTAGAAACATGATTTATATCTTTCGCACGAAATCAACTTTTAGAGACCTACAGAAATACAAAATGATTTTTTTAATGTAATTTTCATAGTTTCCTCTTGATGCAAATGGTTTTGAAACAATGATAATTCGAGATGTTTTATTGGTTTTTTATAATGGATTTTGTTTCATTACTTCCTAATGATTTTACTCTACATAGTCAGTGTAAGGCAAATAATAAATTCTGCACGGTAGATTTGATGTACAGGATGTTCCACATAGCAACCATAAAATCAAAGTACTTGGCAATAATAATTTCAAAAGGCTTATGTAATTTTTGCTTGACATTAATGTCTTGTGTTATCTAATGAGAGTTCAGTTAAAATGTTAACATTGTAAATATTTCGTAAATTTTATGAAAATATATACTACAGCCAATTTAATCGATTTATTACAATTTGTTTATTAATTTAATCAATTGTCTGGCGTATTTCCAAAAGAGGACGTTTCGTAATGCGTTTGAATACCTTTTGTGAAAATTATTGCGCTTTCCAAATGTAAGTGAAATCATTCTATATTTGAATGTAGAAATTTAATGCCATTTGCTCACGTATTAACAGGCATTTCCCAATACACTTGCACTAAATTCATAAAAAAATAACATACCGTTACTTACAAATGAATAATAATCTAATTAAAAAAACGTAATGCATAAAATTTTATAGCCTATTTTATTTTTTCGCGCTTTTTGCGAATGACAAACAAAACTATAACAATAAACCAATAAATTCTGTTCGAATTTTTTCTGTTGCTCGTTTCATAGGTTTCCAACGGGACCAGAAATTTCGTTTCTTTTATCTGATGTAATAACGGCGGTTCGCCTTACAAAAGTGCAATTTATCGTGCTGCTGCCCACACCACAATGATTGTTTACTCGTCGATGAGATGCTAAGCATTTCTCAACTCATTAAGCAGAAAAATCGCCGATGTAACGACTACCTTCGAAGGGAAAAATTCCTTTGTCGGGG